TTAAGATTTAAATGAACAATCAGCTCTGGGGACAAAAAGAGAGAATCGATACTCTTATTCACTGGAATCCAAAAGGTACATAGCACTTACACAGTACACCTACAGAGGACTATAGACTGGAGTTGAGGGGAAACACTGTATTAAGATACAATAGCTTTACTTCTTCTATTGAGGTGTGCATCTTTGCCTTAAAGAAAGAAGCAAGTCTGTGAGAATAAATACCCTTAGATTGCAAAACATCTTTTCACTGTATTTCGAAGCCTGTGAAGTTTCCAATTCAAAATAATGTGGGAATCGTAAATGTCAACCTGTATTGTACTGCAGAGTAAATATGAACTCTGACCAATGTTCATTTTCTCAAACAGATTTCTTCTTATTTACCCTTGATGCCGTGCTGGGTTTCAATATTATTACAAAAAATAAGTCAAAGGTATTCTGCTCATGATTCCGCTAAGTGTATAATGATCCAATGTGTTTGCTTTATGCAAGAGTTTAAATTGATTAAATTGTTCACTTCAACACACATGGCAAGTGTAGGCCTGTAAAATGGTTAAGTGTCCTTGACCGTTAAATGGTATTCCAAGTCCAGCTCACCAGTGAAAGATCATTGATCACAGTTACCAGTTCACTGGCATCCAGCCCCTATCAGTACACGATTAAGTGCTTACTTTATAGTAAGTGCAATCTCACTGATCTGATAACTGCCAAGGTCAAAGGAAATACTCAAAATCAATCACTGAACATTTAATCCCCAGAAGGCAGATTAACTGTATAATTGACCCGTCTAATCCACATATCCTTGGTCAAAATTTTCCTCCCTCCAGTTTATACTGCCGCAGTGTCTCTAAGAAATCTAACTAGAAAACCTGTGTATCACTAGGCCAGCAGATTTGAGCAGAGCTAAAGAGATGGCTTTTTTAATCATTGATCTCTGGGCTGCTGGAATTAAGCAGATGAGCCTAACGTTAAGCACAGCTGTTTTAATCCTTATCTCATCTGCTGTTCTTTCAAGGACTACAAGGAGAAAAAAAAAGAAATTAATTTTTTGCTCTGAACTTAACAACCTTAGCCGTCTCTCAGCGAGATTTCATCTCTTCTAATAAATGACTGGATACATCTTAGGCAGATTCCACATTTTAAATTGGTCTTCAGTTTAAACCTACATTGCCAAAGCCATCTGTACATTTAAGGGCATTTTTGCAACATTAATAATGACAATAACACTAACCCCTTAATTCATCAGCCAAGTACTTAAACCCATATAACTTAACATATAGACGTATAAAAAAAGACACCATGCAAAATGATAAATCCCTCCAGGAAAGGTAGAGTATTCAGTTTCTATACTGTAATTTTAACTATAATGTCCCTTCAATGATAAATTATGAGACATACTGTATAAAAGGCAAACTCATATATGTTTTAGCTTTGTTTTTTACAGAATGTGCTGTAAAAAAAATCAGTTGTTTGGAAACCTGAAGGCAGTGCTGTATTCTAGCTTCTTGCCAATTAATATGAGCAACAAAATTAGATGTTAATTTGCATATGCATGAGACTAGTATAGATAACAAGTATAAGTGGATAAATCCTTAAATGGATTCAGTTCCTAGATTATTTGTTTCAAAATGCCCCTGTCCAATCCCAGACATGTATGAAAAAGATTATTATTTTTAATGATTCTCATTAAGGACACGCACTGTTCTATGACAGAGTATTATGATTAAGCATGCCCATATGTGACGTCTCAATTATTTAAGCATGCTGTTAAAAATGCAGACCACAGACATATTTAAAATAAGTGACCCATACAAATTTAATCTTCTTATTTGTGGCCAAAACTGATTTGCTGTCTATCTGTTCAAGAGATGACAAATACTTGACCTCTATGAAAAATGAGGCACTTAGACGCTCTTAATTGTTTTTTTGTTTCCTGACACTGGCCTCTTCTGTGGTCTAAACTAAACTGATCTGTGATATTATGACCTGCTGTATTCTGATGAGAACAGTGGCCATACTTCATTTCATCAGCCAGATTAAAATGCAGAAAATTTGAAATATTAGAAGCTAGATAATCTTCCAAGAGCAATAACATCTACTGTATACATGGTCAAACAATTGTTCCACATGTGTACTGTACACTAGAGGTATATCAGTACAGAATGGAACCTGAGAACACTGCAAGTCAATGGAGCAATGGGAGAATGGATGGTGAGTGTACTGTCCTTGATCAAAGACAAAACTAGTTTAAAATGATCAGCCATGGGACAGAACTGACACCATCCATCCTGTGCAGCAAAAAAATAGAGCAGATAAATAAAATAAAATTCTGGAGGGAGATGTACAGAAGGAGCCTAAAATGAAAAAATAAAGGCATTTCAAATAATATAAACTGATCTACAAGCTGAGGTACCTTTTAAACTTGTAGAACTGTGTAGCTGTGTATTTAAAGTTGATATGATATTGTGAACACAGTCACTTTACCCACCCCCTATTAATATTTATAAAAACTACAATGCAGAAGCAAATGCATCGTTTGTAATTACCAAACTCCACTGACGAACACAAATCAACAAACAAACAAACAAACAAATTCTTAATATGTCCTAGAAAAAAACAAGAACATTGCAGTCTTAGAATTAATACATATGAACACACTGAGCCCTATTTTCAAAATGCTTTCTCACTATGAAGACTTAAGTGCCTAAATGTTTTGAATATAAGGCCCAGTGTATTTCAGCACACACACAATCCATAATTAATAATTGGTCCAATACTTACGCTAATCTGGTTATGAACAGTCTTAAATAGTAAAACATTACTGAATTAAACAGATATAATTAATTAATGTTCTTTATAGTGCATGTTGTTATAAAAATAATGAAGAGTTAAGACTCAATGTTAAAATAAGAAGAAGGGAGAAAATGGGTTAAGCAGGTGAGGAACATTTTTGTGCTGTTTTCTTAAACTCAGATTTTCATGAACACGTAGAGCTTTTTTCTAAAACACCTTGAAATTTCATTTGAATGCATTCTAAAATATAAGAAATCAGCCATTTTGTTTAGACATTGGTAAACATGTTATTGATGTGTTAGAGATCACTGCAGTTTAAAGATAACAGCACATGGTATGATACCTAAGGAAATGTGATATCCCTCAAATTAAGGAAAAAAAAGCATTAGCGATTTATCAGAATTCATCATGTGGAGTGACTAGGCATCTCAAGAGGCAGACTGGTATTTTATAGATAGTTTTTTTTTGTAAAGGATTTTTTGTTTGTTTTTATTTTTTTGATTTTTCTGCCTACACACTTCACACTTGCTGCCAGGCATGCACTGACAGAGTTTTGAAGAGGGGTTGGAGTGCTGTATGTATGAGGCAGTCTCAGAGGATATGGGTCATGCTAGTAGATGTACACAGGAAGATTATTTGACTCTAAATCATGCCACTCGATATAATGTGATAAAACATTTAGATATGAGAGATAAGTTCCATTTTAATCTCTTGGTGAAAGGAGACAAGAGTGAGGCAATTCGAACAAGATATCAGAAAATCAGTAAGGCTGAAATGAGAGAGAGAAAGAAAGAACAGGAGAAGCACAAAGGGAAATGGACAAATGCAAATCAGGGTTTGCAGACATTGTGAAAGAGGAAGCCAATGAGCAAAGGACCAGAGGGGAAGCACACGCTTTGTTAAGCAGAGAGAGAAGACAAATTCCCAAAGCCAAGAATCCTTAACAAGAGACACCACTGTAAGAAGGAAAACAGGAGTGAGTTGTTCACAATTTAGATAGAAACGGTTATTACTCAGGAAAACACCCTGGAACAGTCAGAAAGCAACAATACTGGGTTAAAAGCAATAGAAGAACAAATATCTAAAATATATGCTTGTTTGAAAGCACTTAAAAAGAAGGGGACAACCAAAGTTGGCCGTAAAGACACAAGCAAACAAAGACAGTGCTATATCCAACAGAATGGAAGACAAATTAGTTGACATGCATCACAAAGGATTATAACCAAGCTGACGTCTTTGCTGTTACTTAAGGCAGTGTTCTCTTTTACTTAAAGCCTCGTTTCAGTAATCCCCACAACCTGTTTCCTCATTATTTCTGTTTCTTTAGCAAAGAAATTGCTTTAAGAATAATTATTTAATGTGGTAATCTAGTCAAGTCATGGACCATTAAGAAACAGAAAACACTAAAAACTCAGTAACAGATTTGATTGCCTCAATATTCTGTCAGTTGTAAATCTGCAAGGTTTGGGTTCTTACTGAAAATGTGTACCAGCTGACTGTAAATACTGTAAATACAACATGACCACCAGGCTATTATGATAAAGTAATACAAAGATGCATTACATGAGTAATGTAAATTTAAATAAAATGTAATAACATGGACTTTGAACCATGATATTTTATAGAATATGTTTGTATTAAGTTATATTTGGGGCATCAAAGTAGTATGGCAGTTAAAACTGCTACCTGACAGATCTTGTTCCTTGGTACAGTTAGGGACTAAGACGCCATTTGTGAGGAATTTGTATGCTCTCTCTGTGTCCTAGTTTCCTCCAAACCTCCAAGCATGTGCTATCTAAGCTTTGTGCCCTGTGTATCAAGAATAAGATCCAGATTGCCACAAACCTCACCAGAAATAATTTCTGATAATGGGTGGATGGATGGAAGTTGCATCTGTGTAATGTATATAATGTAATATGTCTATAGAGAACACTGCTTAAGATAATCCTCTTTGGTGTGGTTGGACACTTTGCTTGAAACAAAGAAGTGCAAGAGAAACAGAGGTCCAATGTATTATGATATACAAAGACCAGAGCAACAGTAGATTAGAGTAAAGGCTTAGAAAAGAGAGAAAAAGAAAAATAAGCCTTAGCAAGGAAAGCTTTTTACAGTTATAGCTGCTTTCAAAATGTGACTTATCCCTCTGCCCAGTGTTTTGTCACATTTTGGAATGTCTCCTCCTTGGGTAGGAGGAGAAGGCATTTACTTACATCAAATAACCTTTCTATATACATCTCCTCATTGACCTTTTCACGAAGGATATCCTGTGAATGGCGCACAAAGGTCACGTAGGCATCTGCTACATCCATCCCAGGTTTCTGGAAAAAAAGACAACAAAGTAGGAAAAGCAGAATATTGGGGAGGGGGAGTACAAATTCAATAGCAGTTGTTACCACAAAATAAATCAAGACCTTTACCAGACAATTGTAAATAAAACACAATGGATCTGTTCTTTTTGTGAACATTCTCGGTTATGGAAACTTTAAAAAACACTGGTATCATGTTTTCTGAGTCCTGTTTTATAAATGGTTTGCACTTCCCTATAATTAAAGCTTGCAAAATGGGAAAGGTGAATGGGAGTCAATTTGATTCCTTTCAAAACATAACAGATTTCACAAGCTAATACAAGTAATCATAAACTCAGTTCTGTGTGTAAGGCATTCAACAACTAGAATTTCAAAGGGGTGTTTCATTTTCAACCCCCTAATAATATTATTATCATAATGATATTTTTCTATCCTGACATGAAAAGAGTCCTTTATCTGTACAGTATGTTGACAATTTTAATTTATGGTGCACTCAGAAAGCTCATACGCAAACATCCACATTTGTCAGAAACTCATTAACAGGCTGTAACAGAGGTTGTTAAATGTGTTGCCACTTAAATGTCTAAAGTATCCAGTCAAGACAATGTGCTTGTTAATAAGTAATTTGATTTCCTTTTCTCTTTTTAAATTAAATGTACCTTAGACCACCACAAAACCATTCATCAGGAAACATAATTGTCAGTCACTGTAAATTGAACTTAGTTAACACATTTGAATAGTTGCATGGGTGCAAATGAGCAAGTTTTAGGATGTAATTTTATTTTGTGCATTAAGCAAACAATTACAGAGTGAAGGATAGGTTTATGGCCCTTAGGACATAAAATACATTACTTTACACTCACCATTTTAATGACAAGGCATTAATTTAAAATCAATGCATTCTGAGAGTGTGTTAGCACTTAAGTGATACCCTTTGAAGCAATTTTCAAACAAATGACAGACTCATAAAATTTATTTTATATTTGTTCAACAAAATAAGTGCTTTCTGTTAAGCACAGTGACAAACTGTCTTTTTGTTATTAGCCATATTAATGTATATTTGTGAAAAGAGAATTCTGCCACAAGTCTCTCAAATGCACATTTTTAATGTAATCCTTGACAAATATTTGTTAATGAAACAGGTATCCTTCAACAAAATCTACTTCTGAATGGTACTGTCTGATACTTTACACATGAATTGCAAAACAAAAAGACGTTCCATTCCAGCAAACTAAAAAAAATCGCCCACAAGGAATTGTGTATTTTCATTTGTCTACTCCATTTTTTCACTCAGACAAGCTGCCCAATCCTTAAATGAGACTGCAAAATAAAAGCTACAAACACCATAAGAGCTACAAACACCATAAAGAAATGGATAAATATTGAGTTTATTTTCACTTACAGGTACATCCACATACTTTGAGGCTGCTTTCACCTTGAATAAAATAAATCAGAGAAAAAGGGTAAGAATTGTGACCACTGAGTTCAAAACCTTCTGCTTCACATCATAGACAGTACAGTACCTGACGATTTCTTTTAATATATGAAATAATACAATGTGATTTCCGGTACATACCATACCTAGACTTATCATACCACACATTTTTAAATGCACCAGTGACAGAGAGATTGAAAGGAAGGCCTTAGACAGTTAATCTTGCTTTTCTTCATGTAACTGAAGAATACTTTCCTTATCTGTGCTAACATTCTTTGCACTTAATGGCAAGCATAAGTAGAACAAATGTAGTTAAGAACATGAAACAATTCTTAATTAACAACCTTTCAGTCTGAGCAGGGTTTATAGGAATTGAAGCAAGATAAAAGTACAATATGTTCTTACTGTGAAAGACAGGAATGATGAAAACAGAGTCCCCTCATCATATCTGGACAATTTAGCCAACACACTCTCCAATATGGTAACAAACTGCCAGAAAGACACATTGTTTAGCTCCTGACATTCACAATAGTATGCATTCTTAAAATACTAAAGATAACTATACATTTCTATCCAATAGCAAAATATTGTAATAAAATCAAGGTTCTTTGGAGAAAAATTATAGGAAAAAAATCTAAATTATTGATTTTAGAGACATCTTTAAAAGGAACAAATAGGTGCAAATAAATGGAGTGCCACTTTGATGCACACTGTAAAGAAAACATTTTAACAGGACTTGTACTGCTTTTAATTTATTTTTTCTTTCTAATTTATTTCTTAATAATTTTCCATTATTTTGCAAAACATACCTTTGCAACCAAGAGGGTAATCATTTCTTTGACAGTTTCCTCAATTAGATTGTCTATTTGGGAGTGGTACTGTCTCTGAAAAAAAACATGACCAACAAATCAGCCAAAATGTTCATGATGTCATTTGCTTTTGCTAGTGAGGAATGGTCCATTCAATTATATGCTTATAATTGATAAAAAATTGATATTATCACTGATAAACTAATGATTTTCTTTCAAATACCTTTGTCCTGTGTTTCTCTGGCTACATACTAAAGGAACTTTTCACAGTTATTAATATTTCCTGAGATAACTGTCACTTGTAACTAGACACCACAAATATGATAACGTTCACAATTATTCTCTACATATATTCAATCACATCTATTACACACGTTAATGAAATTGAAACATTTAAAGTGCTGACAGAAAGGGGAAAACTGCTATGAATGCTAATTATGCATCTGGGAAATGGGAGTGAGATTTCGATTGAATTGTTAGCCACACTTACCCACTCTTTTACAAACTTTCTCAAGATAGAGAAAAAGAAATAAAAAGAAAGATAGAGGAAACATGGTAACACCAATGCCAAATCAAAGTAAAAAAAAAGATTAACATAATGTAATGTGAAAGCATAATTTCAAGAGATCTGCAAATAAAACACCAAAGCAGAACTATAGAAAAAGGCACAAACGCCAAAATAAACTATAAAATAATGGAAAAATAAACCAGCTTTATAATAAAAATGTTATATTATGTGGTATGTAAATCTTTGCTTGTAAATGTAAAACAAATTCCCAGTAAATCTGCTTAATTCCATAAAACCATTGAAAACTTATACTTCATTTTTTCATCTTTGATGAAAACGGTAACACAAATTCTGAATGAAACTGGAATTTTGTAAAACCAGTGATTCTGAATGGAAATATTTTTAGAAAATTTGAAAACAAGCCTCTAACAGCAAACAAATCATATTTACTTTAAACATGAGAACACAGAAGACTGAAAAAGGCTTTGGGTTACCTCTTGGCCCATTTCCATGCTACAGAGTTTTGCAGATTGAGCCTTGGCATCTACCATCACATTAAACATTGTGCATATTGACTGTGGGACACGGAAATCTGTCGTCCGGCTGGTTTTTTGCAGCTTTGCTTCAAAAGCAACCCTTGTTCTGTAACCGAGAAATAAGCACCAAAAATGGATCCTAAAGTAGTTCATTCAGATTCTTGCTTTTCTAGTCCACAGTGAAAATACGGGATGACGACATTGAAAACAGATTCTTTTCAAATGCTTCCTGTGAGCAACGTACAAATCTAGATTTCTGGCTTTTTTTAAAGGTTTGTAAATACCAGAACTGCCAAGACAGACAATCTTGTAGCTAAAGTCAAGTCACCTGTACTCATAAAAAGACACTTAAATGAAGTTATGATTTTATGCCTGAACGAGAGAACGATATACTTTATACTTAGTACTGATATTTTCCATTGATAGTCTTTCTCACCAAAAACAAATTACCTCTTTACACATGACTCAATCATGTCACTGGACATGAGCTTTAATCGGCTCTCCAGGTGTTTTGCAAACTCCTCTTCAGGCCAGTGGAGATCTCGGATGAAGGTCTGTAGAGCATCAAGCTTCCAGAACAGATCTTCAGAGGTACCTGATCCGTTGCTGAGAGAACAGGACAGAAGGGGTCAAAGCGAGCACCTGTCTCCTGAAACAGTTTATCACAAATGGAGACGGCAAACTAAGTTAAGGTACAGAGTATACTGATGCACAAGGGGATGCTGTTAGTCTCCACCTCCAGAATTTAGGCTAATATACATTTTATATACATACTGTATGTACTTATTTTTACCATAAAGTGATTGTTTCCAGCATATAACACCTGAAATTTCTAAGCTATATAAAGTATCATCTTTTTTTTACTGGAATCAGTATATGGTAAAAATAAAGAAATGTATGTCTACCACAAAGTAATAGCCACACAGAACTGTGTGGTTATTTTAAATTGGGGGTCATGCATACTGTATACTGTTCAATTACATGTCTTGAATCTTTCCAGGATAAACATCTTAGGAGGGCTGTGGTATTAAGTGGTGAGTGAGGCCAGGTGTGAACCCGTCATTGCAATAGCCAGGTGCAATGATGGTTACATTTTACTTTTGCCTTTTCTGTTTAGAGAGATACAGGGCAATGCGGAGGTTTTGATATTTCTACAACTGTGAACGACGATTTTGCTAAACTGTTTGTACATTGTGAGTGCAAATTCCAAAAGTTTTGAAAAGCACATTTTTATAGAAGAGTAAGACGTCTTTCCTGTCATTTGTCCTTCTGCCCAGCAGTATTAGATAGAGCAGGCTCTCGCACACCACTTATGCCAGCACAATCGTTTCTAGGGATGTTAAACACACCATGCATTACCAGAGGGTACTGACATCCTCAGTAGAAACGTGTGATGTTGTGTGTTTCTATCATGATGGATGCCAGCTGCACTGAAGTACTGGCTGCTTCAGAGCAATAGCTAAAGCACAGACAGCTACTGCATGTTGAAAACCATAATCCTGACATGCCAAAGGTGGCCCACCAGCAGGAGATCCTGTACTGGCCAAGTATGCAATTCCTGCAGGTTCTCTTAATACAGTCAATATACAAAACTACATGAAACAATAGAGATCTGTCTTTTATACTATGAATGAATATTTGAGGAAGTAAGAAGATGTTGGAAAGATACAAAATCATTTGGAATTTACTCAATAAAGCCATTTACTTGCTTCATTAAAATAAAATCTGTATATTTCACAGTATGAATCATGTGCAAAGATAATTTGTACAAATTTAGATAACATGTTTAACATACAATAAACAAAACGTTTTACTTTTCCTTCTTCAAGCCAGACAATTAGGCTATGTTATACAAGACAGATTATTTGGCGTATGAAGTAGGGTCATGCGCTGTACAGTCACAAAGACATATTGATCCTGACTGAAAGAGGAAGGTTTACGCATTTGTATAGGTTAGTGAATCTGTTTTTAACTCAGGATAGTAGTTAAAAACACAGATCAGATCTCTATTTGTATCTTTCCACCCTAGAGTAAAACAGCATGCAAGGAGAAGAAAATGAAAAGCCATCAGGTTCTCCATTTTAAAATGCTGCCTAATCTAGCCTTTAATACAGAAAGCTTGGCATGAAAATGACTTCAACAGGAAAAATATGTTCAGGTAAATAATAATGTATTTGTGCATTGTGCATAATCCTCAATGCAATATTCCTGAAGTAGATACACAGTATGTCACATCTGGGAATCTAATTGTGCCAGACTAGGGCAATTTAGCACAATGATTTTGATTCTAATGCTCTGCTATAGTTTAAGGCCAACAGTTAAAGACTGTGAAATTCAGCTGGCTGACAGATTTTATAAAACATGGTGAACCTTGGACTCTTCATCTGCAATTTGCAATGACAGCATCTCACTCAATTTGAGACCTTTTTTTCCCTTGTAAAGCTGAAAATGTTTCACTTTCATTTGGAAAGGCAGAATAGATAATGTGTCACAGTATGGAGAAGTGTGGTGGGAGAAGCTTTTAATTAGTTGTTGTAACTGTGTCTAAACATAGTTTGTAATTACCTTAGCTTCATTCATATTCATTTGCAAACTCCCAATTGAGTGCCAAATGCTGATAGCAAATCAGATAAAGCAAACAAATGAACAATTTGGTGTTTTTTTACAGCTGGGAAAAATGAAACAATATTAAAATTATTAAAATTTCTTAGTGTGTTGTATTACAGTACTACAGATTATCTTCCCCAACTGTATACAATATATGAGCACAGTGAGTGTAAGAATATTTTTGTAGGATTGGAATGCACACCTGGAAATCTTAAGATAGGTTAGACAGCAGTAGTAGTGTAGTATATGTATGTTGCATGCAAAATTAGATGTAACATTCTTTATTAGGCAAATGTGAACACTGAATTTGAAGGGACGATTTTTGGGTGATACTTTAGTAATATTACTAAAACCAACAATAATTCACTCATTAAAAATAGGAAAAAGACATATTCATGCCAAGGTGACTGTTGTCAATAAATCAGATCTAATGTGAACTCAATACACACTCAGAGTCATATATAGCAGCCATCCAAGACGGAGTAGAAAAGCTAGGCATTTGTGGGAGGTTAACTGGTAGATTTGGTACTTTAGGGAGATTCACATTTGGTAGATTCACATTGGGAAGATTACTTGTTAAACTCCTGTAGAAGAAACAGACAGAAAGAAAATACCATAACAGTGATAATGCAGATGTTGGAGAAGCAAATGTGACACTTAACTAAATAAGTTTAAAAGGAAAATAAAAAAGCACAACAACGCAAGACCAGAAGCTCAAAAAAAGTGATACAGTTCCCCAAAAAAGCAGGAGGGGGGAATGACAACAAAGGCAATATGTAGTGGTTCATAGGAGATGCAACAAAGCGGAAAATGGAAAATTAATTTTAGAAAAGGAACTGAAGGGAAGAAAACAACAACACACCAATCTTCAAAAACAAAAACAAAAGCAAAGCATTTCAGGTCCACACAAAAGAACTGGTATCACTTACAGTTTCTGATGACATTTCATAGCACAGAACAATGGGTATTAGTCCAAAATAATAAAAGGATGAAAATCCCACATTACACATTTTTTAAAAGGCCCTGAGATATGAATTTAAAATCAGTCACATTGACACATACTGGCACAACAAAATATGTTCAAAATATTTCAGTACAGTCAAGCCACAGTATCTTAATACTTTTAAAATACATATTATTGACTTTTTCAAAATATAACACTCAGAGCATACACAATATAAGGAGCTGATATAATTTGTGCATATTGTGATGCAACTAAGTAATTTTCAAACACAAACACTGAAAAAGCATAAAGCAAAGAAGGCATTAACAATTACACACATATATTGGGTTAATAATTAAGTAGAAAATACACAAATTGAAATAACCTTAACAAAATGTATATTGACAAGTTACCTTACCTGCCCTTAGGACCATAGAGATCAGAAGAACACAATGTTTATTTAATTTACCTTCTTACTAGATAGCCTTTCTCTGTTATAACTTTCTGTGGGTTAACATTTGTTGCAGTATTACATTAAATGTAAACGTTGTAATTCACAGGAAACTGTATACATGGGAAGGACTACATATTACGATGTTAAGACCTACAGTATATATATACATAGGCTGTCTAAATCTTACATCAAAAAAAATAAAATGAAAGGTATTTGGGTGAAAAGCAGTGCACAGTGTTTTCATTTGAATTTGAAATAACGACTGGCAGGAAATTACAAACTTTCCCATACCAATGTGTTCTTTGTACTTACTAATTTTGCAAAGGAGAATAAAAGTACTTAAGTTAATAAAAAGAAAATCAGATTTTTAATAGATATAAGTCAAAGTTAATGCTGTTTTCTTGTTTTTCTCCTTCATAAAAAAGTGTGAATTTTGGAGAGGACAGTATGTCTGCCAGTTATGTCTGAATATGGTGATGATGTTTCATAGAAAATCTATTCAATAAAAATCTCATTGGCTTATATTCCTCCTCTACGCTAAACAAAGATTGCTTAAAGTTTGACTTTTTTGTCATCAGCCTAAAAAGTGTAAGTAAAAGTACTTATCCATTATCCTGTACAAGTACAGGATGAAAGTTTGTGCAAGAACAGGACAGAGTTTGCAAACTGGACATAATAATGAGACAAATGAAAATAAAAACCATTGGAACTAAAGCAGATGAAGATTTGTTTTACTGAAAGCTTTCAGTGTTCTGCAACCATGACCCACATTTATCCTGTGAACAGAATTTCTAGACTCTTAGCTTCACCCTTTGCTGACATGCAACTGCAAAAATTGAATAAGCAGCACACATAAAGTGAAAATGACCATTTATTCCTGTGGACAGTGATCTCATAGTTATACTCACTGTGAATGCTGGAATGTCAGCTTTTTTAACTTTCACAAATCCAGGTGAAGATGCTTATTACATGTCATGTATATCTTTAAGAGTTAAAGTATATTGTTTTTTTATCTTCACCGGAGAAAAGGAAAAAATGATCCAGTTACAGTGTTCCAGTTCTGTTTCTATACTCAAGCCATGACTCTCCAACCGTCCTAACTCAAAGTTAATCAAAAGAAGGTTCCCTTACTTTACAGGCTCCCACGACTCCCGTTCAAAGCCCCTATGAATTGATTGTGCAATTGATGACTCCATCAGGTCGACATATCTAACCACAAGGGGAGCAAACAGATCTTGAAGGTGTTTGTGGAATTTTCCATTACACAGATTATCTGAAATAGACAACAATGGGCCTGTAAGAATGTTTCTCAGATTATCGTTTCATTTTTTTCCCCCAGAAACTGCTTAGAGTGCTGTTACTACAAAATCATAAGAAGTGTATGTGGGGGAGGGGTGTTATGATAAGACACTGTTATAGAAAAAAAATGCTGCTCTCAATAGTTCAGAGAAAAAAAATAATGATGCTAAAGAACAGACCAAATCAAATCCAAGTAGCACATATGAACAGAAAAAGAAAAAGAAGGACAGTGACAGAAAATATATACATTCTCACCTGGCATCATGCACCGTGCTCTGTAACATGCACAGCACCTTTGTTGGTGGTACTTAACAAATGGAAATAAATGCACGGTACAAGGTAGGAAGACAGGAAATATCTTTTTGCAATTAACGAGTTTTTAACAGGGTGCTTTCTGTTTCAAGTGATATCTACTTTGAATGTGTTAAAGGGAAAATTTATTGAAAAATATATTCAGAGTCCTTAAAGAGGAAAGTACTGTAGTGTGCAAGTTTTTTTCCCTTAAATGTTTATTTTATTTTGAAAACCATAATTTAATTTGGCACTACAAGGTTTAATGTTTTCTATATTTAAGCAAAACAAAACATTTCTTGACCTACCCATTTTGTCTTTTGATGAATTTCTCACAAAGAGGTTTGTTTGTGTGTTTTCAGGCACTCATCAACCTCAAGCACTGAGAACTTGTATTCCTGATCAGAGATTACATTTAACAGTTCTCTACAAGTGAATAGCTTGAAATGTTCTCAATAAATCCTAGACATGTCCTCCAGATTGAGATAAACTGCACCAGAATATTAAGCTTATCTCCAGAAAACAGTCTACCAATTCATGTACTTGGTTGTACAAGTTAAATGTATTTGAACATCTATATTCAGAATATATAAAGAGCATATTTAGCAGATCTGAGATAAAAATAACAATTTTTATAAGTTTAGGCAAAATTCAGGAACTCTTTTATACTGTAGGGTTACCGGCATGCATTTTTTTAAGCAATTACTGAATTCTCAAGGAATCTTTTAATTGTAATTATTTAACACGTACTGTATGCAAAGCATTGAGGTCAGCACCGATCTGTTGCTAAAGGCTATTTTCTGTTTTAAATGTTTTAAATGACAACGAATGATTAAGAAACATTTTTTATTCAGTTTCATTTTATCTCTCTTCACCGAGGTCTGTTAAAAATGTCAAAGGACAACAGTCATCACAAATGACAGGAACACACAAAGAAAATGCACATAAACACATAAAAAGCAACACATAAAATGCGATGCAACTTGAATGTTAAGCACATAGTATTGAAAACACACATATTACATGTACAAATACAGAGAATGTGAAAACTACAGTGTAGGCATCCTCTGCTTATCTGTGACTTCCAGAAAAAGGTTCATTATCTACAATCGCTCTGACAGTTTCAGGGGGCACTCGGCTAATTAGTTCTCTCATGAAGCAGTAAACTAGGTATTGCTGCTAACAAGAACAGTGCTTCTGTATGCATTTAAGGCATGAAGGTCACTTGATCTTCACAGCTTGTGGCAATTATGTACACAACTCGCCCTGTATGCAAGTTGTGATGATCTGGGAGTATTTGTTCTTCACTGTATTAGACAACACAGCTGGAAAGTAAAAACAGGACTAAACATCTCGTTTGTCACGGCAGCTCGGCAGGTTCATGTCATCCTACAAAGACAGGATTATCATTCTGTCTCTGGCTCGTATTATTTTTGGGAACATTCAAGGCTTAAAAGATCTTAGCTAATGGACACAATAGGTTCATCAAATGAGGACGAGGCAAATTGATAAAGGGATGAAGTAAGTTGAATTTACAAGCCTTGGTGTACGAAAACGTGTTGTTATCCATAGTACACGGTGTCAGCAAATGCTTTTTTTTTCATTCCCTGACATACAATACACCTGTTTTTGCCTTGCAGGAGTTCTTTGTAAATACTGTAATTTCATTTTTTTTACCTGAACTGAATGGAAAAGTACTGCATCTGTTAAGGTTTGTTCAATTTGCCAGATGTGGTGAGATGATTCAGTAGGAATTACATAAAAGACTACTCAGCTCTTTACAGTAGATTGAGATTAACAGTGGACTGCCAAAAGTAGTGACCCATTGTAACTGAATGACTGCATCCAATTTCAAATCATGGCCAATTTTATTCCACTGTTAGCTTAATGGTGAGGCCGTTTTTATTGTTAAAATGTGTTTGTATTGATGAATCATAAGTATTACAGATAGCTTTTAAAAGGAAAGTACTGCAACTTTCTGTCAAATTCCTGAAAACTCTGCAACAAGTCCTACGTTCTTCTGAATGAAGGAGTAGATGTAAGTGAAAAATGTACAAAACCTCTAACAAGTGCTTAGCACTATGATCAGTTTTAATCTCTTCTTCCAGTCAGTGGGTTGACTGACTGGGTTGTTGCTGGGGTTTGTGCTGTACGATGTATTAAAACTTCGTCATTATAAATTACTAGTAACAGTACTTACAGTCAGTTCTAAGGAAGTCATTCAACAGCTGGAATAGTGGGAAGCTGTCCCAAGTGTCTGGTGGCTGAACTTCTAATGCCGCATCCATATCCACAGCAAAGAGAGACAAGAAGGTCTCAGCATGCTCTACCATGAGATCTGACCACCACGCAAAGGCCTGAGGAGTTTAACAGAAAGAGAAAGACACAGGGAAAGAGAAAATAGGAAATGATGGTCAAGAAAAAGCCGAGAGCTGTTAAGACAGCAGTGTAGTAAACTGGTAGTGTGTTTTAAATTAAAAACATAGCTTTCATGAAATGTGGCTTAAACATATCGAGACCATCACTGTCAATATTAAATAACAATGCTTAAAAAGGTACAGAAGTACTTCTAGGACCATCACAAGATGAAGCCACATTTTTACCAGTTTACTGTGAAGCTGTATTCTTATTCTTTTATTGCCTACTTGTGGCACCAGATATAGAAAGGTAACTCCACTCAATTCTATAAATAAAGCTTCCTTTGAATTCGTTTACTGCATAAATCTATTTATTCATTCCCTTTGTGTGACTGTAAAATTCTAAAACCAAAAAATCTAAAACCAAACATTTCACTCTTCTATATGCGTGAATTTGAAATTGGCAATTAGCCTTCCTTGATTTATTAATAAAATGTGTGTGGTAATGTTTGCCTACAAGAAACAACAAGAGTTTGCATTAAAAAATTCTGTAAGCTGTGCTTTTCATTTGAAATCTATAGAAGTCAGTGGAGTGACTGAAAAGGGTGCCCTTGTATCATGCAAGTGGACTCCTTACATGCTTCTCTCCCTTGAATATGTTTTGTGCGTTTTTTCTTTTTCTGTCATTCACATCATACAAGTTTCAGATGTGAATGTGTCATGTGTTCATGCATTTTGGTGTCTTTTATTTAGTGCCGACTGATAGCATGCAGCATTTGTGGCACTAGCAACAGGATCTCAAGTAAAGAGAAAGTTAGTATTTCTGATTTTGTGCTTAACAATTTTAATTTTCTTAAAACAGTATCACTCTGTAAAAGAATGAATTTCCTATTCATTTGCAAATTTTAACGTCTCTTGGAGAAACTGAGATATGCCTGCTGCTAGCAATGCTCAACTGCTTGCAGTCGCTGGCTTACTTGCCATGGAAAACTGACAAAACTACAGTTAAGAAATGCAAGTGGGAGTTGAATAAACAGGAGAAGCATAACTTAATCGACGAACTGCATGCTTTTCATATAAAGAACAGAATACATTCTGAGAATGTCTGTCATGTGGGGCACAAGATAAATTTGATTGATTCCTGCTATTTCTTACCTCAGCTTAACTTACCTGTTCCAGATCACACAGTACTTTGAATCAATTAACCCTTACAACAATGTGGGGGACATCATAGAGCTTGCATTGGCAGTATGTATTTCTTTGAAAACAACAACAACCGCAACTATACTGGCGCAAGTCTTCTCAAGAAATGCATAGACTGGACACACACGGAGTGGATTCGGGTAAGATTCCAAGAGGGGAAGAGGGTGGAAATACTGGGGTCACTGCTTGAAGTGCTTGCTGAGGCAGCGTCACCTTCATGCACTGGCTGTCTAGCAAACTTAGCACACCAGTGGTATAACTGACAGCTGCACAAGCACTTGCCTCTTGGGCACCAATAAACTGTGGAAAGGTCACAAAGCAAGGGAAACCCAGGTAAAATCCCAGTAGGAAAAAAAAACATGGTTATCTGTAGGACATGCACAAACTATGAAGGGAGGTGACTCATTTCATTCAGTGAAGTCACATACCTCTTTTCCCTGCCAGGACCATCCAAGATTGAATGAACAGTAAGAAAACAGGGAGGAGATTTAAATATGCAAATCAGGCATTAGTTGGGAGCTAGGAGTTTTGTTACTGTGAAGCAGAAAAATGGGCAATGATGCCAAAATTAAAACAATAGCACTGCACACACAAAAAACATTCAAATGACGGCTATAAAATAAACAGTAAGGCGCAACATGACTGTTTTCTGCTAATGCAAATACAAATTACGCTTTCAGTCAACAAAAAGAGGAAAGAGATCGTGTGTGAACCTGGCTTTCAGCAGAGAAGTGGGCACCTCTGTGAATTTCACACCATTACCTTGCCACAACGGAAGACAGTCCCAGCTATAGCACTACTGCAGTGGTTAGGTGTACTACAATAGAGTGCAGAATTCCTCAGCTCCACACAGAGGTGAATCCCAACAAGAAATACAACTGCCACTTCATGACCCATTTCATTTCCACCCTCCACGGGCAGCTTGTCTGGTTTTCCAGAAGACCCCATTCATTGGATTTATTTTTAATGCTGAGATATTATTCATATCTTTTGCTACCACAGGGCACATCCTAGAGAACACGTGTTATTATAATCCTTGCTAACAAGGACTTTAAAGTAAAAACACAATTGGGTACTTTACATGTCTCTTTACGTGGGATTGTTTTGTTTATCTCAAAGAATAGCATGTTTGTATTTTGTTCAAAGTGCTCATCTCTTTGTCACGAAATATTGATAATCAACAATGCTGTGCTTTATAACACGGAAAAAAGGGAAGAGTGCTTTGTCTATGTTTCAGTCATTCCAATCTGTGTCCCTACCGGTGCTTGAGAAAGACACTGTTCCATTCCCTGAACTGTTGATGACAGAGCTCCTTAAATTTCCTTGCATGCGCTTTATATCTTATGTGATGTGACTTCAATAATAGAAAGAAATATATATACTGTACCCCTGTTTGATCTCCAGTACTTGTGACTGCTGCCTGTTGGGCAGATCCAGAAACATAAAATAAATCTTCATATTCATTAATGTTAATTAAATTTTAAGTCAGAAATATGCATCTAAAGAACCGTATTACGGTCATGCATAAGTTTATGTGGTTTTCATGCTTAACGAAAATAATAGATACTTGAAGAATGCATCTAAAAATGTGCCTTTGTAAATATTGACGATATAAAAATTGGCCAATAAAAGTGCTATATCATGTATTCAGATTAAAACCTTTAATGTAAAAAGAAATAATAAAAGCAAAGCAGCCCTTAATGATGTATGATATATGGTGCTTTTACTGTAATGTTTTTCAAAGCAAGTTTGATATTGATGAAAAGCAGTGAACCTTTTATTTTATGTTTTGGCGGATGAGGTTGTCATTTAAACATCTTAAACATTTTTTTACATGACACTCTAGGATAGAAAATATCTATAAATCTGAAAACACTCTGTTGATAGATACAGTAATGCTTTCAGCAGTACTGTAACACCCTACATAAAAAGAAACGTAACATTTATACAAAAAATAATAAACTATATACATGAAAAACCTTTACATATACATGAAAGTCCTTTCTTTACAGTGTTTCAGTTTTGTAGAGTTCTTACTGTATGTAGTTTTTAAACTCTTTAGAAAATATCAAACTACAAATGACTGTGGTAAAAGTGTAATCCAAACCCCTTTTTAGTGTGAATATTGATAAATTGGAGTGAGTATGACCTAGGACTAAAAACATAATTGGTATTAATTGGTACACCAAAGAGCAAGAAAATAGTGCGGGAACTTGAGCAACTCTGTATTTGTCGGTCAAACTCATCATTAAGTCAGAGGTTATTAATCTGTGCATAAAGCTATAAAGACAAAAGGCTTTTTTATACACAAAAGACAAACAGTGACATCATTAACCCCCATCTTTTGTTAAAAATAAAAGGACTGTCCTTTAAAATATAATAAGAAATTAAATTAGCCTATGGAAAATTCCATGTTGCAGGCCCTCTGTGATTGGTGTACATCGAGGAGCATTGAAATGGACAATACCGTGGTCTGCCGCTCATTCACACAGTCACCTGTGAGGACATTTCAGCCATGTTCTGACACTCACCTCAGCATGGTGCTCCTCATTTTGCTGCAGAACCTCAATAACCAATTCGGCAAGACGAATAGTATCTTCTAGCTTTTTGGCTGGTGTGACTAAGCGGCCTACATTTTCTGAAGCAGAAGAAGCATTGTTAATAAAGGCAAGCAAAAAGAAAGGAAGTCCATTTCATTACAGTATTAACTGGGACATGGCAACAGACTGTATGCACTGTTATTTCACATGCAGAAAACAGTTTTTGAAACAAGACTTAGTCTGATATTGTAGCAGAGTGCTCCAGCTTAATATTTTTTTTCCAGCGCCAAACAAAAGCACACATACAGCATTTTTGCCAGGGTAAATTTGAACCTACAGTATTTCATCATACAGTAAAGACATAAGAACAATACTAGACTGTAGCAGGTATACAAACCTTTATGTAATAAGAAGTCTAACTCTTTAAACTTTACCACATATATCAGATTATATTTTTGTTTGAAAGCTGGAGCACTGAATAGGAGGTTTAACTCCCAATACAAAATGTGAAAGCACCCAGTAGTTTGTTAATATAAAATTGAATAACAAAAAACACAAACATGTTACAATTATCATGCAAAATGCTATGCAGCATTAATGTTATTTTGTGCTGACAATCAGACTTGAAAATGTTGCATATATGACAGACATTGCTAAACATGAAGTATGCAAAACAATTGTTAACATTTCTTCATCTAAATACCGTATCTGTAACTTCTAGGAACATAGGCTATTAAAGTAAAATAGTAAGAGCAATTATAATTAGCATATAAATTTAAACCAACAAAACAATATACTGTAAATGAGAAGCAAATTAAAGTATTTAAAAGAAAATAGAAAATAAAAGGGCTTTACAGTACTTGGTATTTGCCTAGGCATGCTTCTGAGTCTCTGATTTATCATGTCTAGATGTGACTGAATGGGCGGAGGAGCTTGTGGAAGTTTAGGCCTAGATCTTGGAGCTGCCATGCATAAATGGAAAAAACAATAAAAAGGAAACGCTTTTGATTTCATGAACAATGAGGCGACAACTTAAAAAATAGACACACCAATGATGCTAGAAATAAGGGGGACACAATATTTGCTACTATTGCTTTATTGACTGAGAAGGGGTTTCCAGAATCCCTTTTTATTATTATTTTTTCTACAGAGCGTTCTAAAAATACCTCGTCCAATTCATCCAGAACTAAAGAGACTACGCTTTTGCTCAGAGGGTTTATAGATTATTTAAAAACATTCTTTTATACATGTACGGTACCATGAAATTTGTAAGGTTTTCATCACACAGCAAAGAATATTTTAGAGCAGAATCCCACATATAAATTTGTTTAAAGTGCAAGGGTATCTCGTATGAAACTTGATCTATATTCTCTGACTTAATTTCATGATCAAATTTCACACTTCATGATAAATCGCATTAATTGATGAGAAGTAATGTGTGGAGCAATGTAGACGGAACCTGTATTGTGTGTTTTGTTTCCCCGCAGGATGTAATACTGTTAAAGGAATAACATTGTGTTATTCTGAGTTCTACCTGTTGTCCTTTAGGTGTAATGATGACTGATTTAAAATATAGTTAACTGTCAAATAGTCATTATTTTAATAACCCTGCCTGAAACAATATGAATGGACCATAAATCTTAATTAAAGTGCTATTCATAAAAACGCCTCAGGAAATTCTGTACTGGTTGACGTGTAATTACATTAGAAACATGGAGACCGGATGTTTCTCACCAAACATTGTAATAAAAAAATCCCTACATGTTGTCTCCATTCTTATTCGTCTTTCTTTATGTTAAAACCAACACCCTTCGTGTTGTGGTTACAAAGGTCGGTTTTGATCAACTCTAAATTTCAAGGGCAGCATTTTTCTGATTGTGAACAGTGCCTGATAATCTGTGTACATATTTTTTAACTACAGTATATTAAGGTTTTTACCAAACCTAATATTCTATGTCATGGAATAACTGAATTCTAATTTCCTATGCACTGAAAGAAATATCTATTAAAAGTGTTCTATTAAAAAATCCACAGTTTTTCATGAAAAAATAACCAGATTATAGAAAACTCAATTTCCTATGTCGTTGTCCTTTCTCTACCTTCTCAGCCAATAGATCTCTATAACACTGTTATTAACAGGCTACCAACACCAAGCAGTTAAAGGTATTTTATTTAATTGTTTAACCCTTTCCTTTTCACAAAATGAGTAGCTTTTAATGTCACTCAAGTTTGTAGGTGATGGTAAACAGTTGTTAAATTTAAAAATAAATAAAGTAATCGCTATTCAAACTGAACAGGAAATACCTTCTTTTTTGAAAAAAGCAAAGGGTTAAATTGTGCAAGGAGTTTGAAACTTCATTCTGCCGTCACGTATAGCCAAGCATAATATTGTTGTGCCTGAGTATTACATTTTACAGCTGCCTTGTTTTTGTAAACAACTAAAAGTACATGTCCAGTTAATGAACACGTTAGTGGGGTGATACCTACACCCGCATCATCACATTTGGTTACATTCAATTACAAGTTTGAGATGTGAAATTCATAGTAAGCATACAGTAGTTTGGTATTACACTGAGCTATACGGGAAGGGATTTTAAAATTGATTCTTTGGACACATGATGATAGAAAAACTAAGCTCTCTGCTGTCATAATCTGGAACAAAGCATGAACATGCAAAGTGCTAAATCAGGTATCTCATTGCAAAAGGAAATCTTAGATTAAGCCATGTCTTCTTTATTATTTTAAGTAAATGGATTAGCATGGGGAAATGATCTAATTATTGCACCTGTCAGACCTGATTTTGAATAAATTAACTTATACCTCAATATTTCTTCTAAACACTATACCTAATAAGATGTCCCCACTTTGTACAACACTGGATTATTGAACGCAGATAATATTATTTTTATTTGTCCTATCTCATTTACTGTAAGTATTTGAATATGAAATACCTGGTTTAAGACTTCTTTTGCAAACTTTTCTTATATAACGACACATACTTTTATAAAACCAGATATTCTGGCTTTATACATAAACATTTACAACCATCTGAGCCCGGAGGAAAATGTATAGGCCCTCTTTTGGCAATCTACATTTTGATTCATTAAGTATGTTGTATTTTTTACCCTGGAAAAGGTCATAAAAACAATTGCTCATGAAAAGAAAGAAATGTGTACTTTGTTTTTTAGTACTGAATTGGCTGTCAGAATCTCCTACTTTTCTCCTCTATAGACAGTAGAGTATTTGTCTTCATGTGACTAGATGTATAGTATTAAAGACTTCTTAAGCATGTACCTTATTTATCTCACTTAGCCATACGTTCTCCATAGTGGCACATAATTCTCACAGTCTCACATTTACACACCATTGGTAATGATTAAGAAAGCACTTTCTGAATTTCTCTCACTGAGTACATTTTTGAGCTTGACTCTGTGGAATGCAAGACAATTTTCACAATTTCAAAATAAAAAAACAATGCTCTAGATACTTTTCCAGACAGAGGTGAGTACTTAGGATTCTTAGTATGAAAGAATGCATGAAGACTGAAAACAAAGCATGGATCATCTCTGTTTACAGACTTGTCTATTGTTATAATAATAATAAT